AGAAAACGTTGAAAGCAGAAGGGAAATTTGTGCGTGACTAGAAAAAAAGAAATTCGTGATCTTGCAAACGTTCTTTAGAAATCAAATGAAATTTCGTATTGTGTGTAAAAAAAGTTATGTCAGAGGTGATCTATACAGAATACGCTTCAAGAAAATTATATTATAGTCAAGGAAAAGAATGTAATTCCAAGTATGCATGTTTAAGACAAATTCTCCAATTGGAAAAATTCTAGAATATTTTCGTGGAATATTAATATATAATGTTCTAGAATGTTATGCTGATTTAAACCGATTCGTGAAATAAGCGAGACGTCTACCAAATCAATCAATTAGGCGCAGAAAATTGTTAAACATTACATTACGTGGCCGTTCAGATCACGATGAATTGTCTTGATGATTATTCCGTTAAAATCACCGCCACATTTGTCATGGAAAATAGCCATGGATAATCATCTTACGCTTCAATCAATTATATTATTGGAACTGTTTATAAATGACAATTGTTGCTCAATTCGAGTAACGATACACTTTGTGTTGTTACAGATATTCATGTTAACAAGACACAAGCTTCAAGCAGCGTTATATTTTACCTTTTGAGGAAGATACATTTCTTCTACACTATTATTAGATATTGTTCTCAAATTTTATTAACTTTCAATGTACACTGGAGAATGAAATTTAAATTCTTTGTAACTGAAAGACTATTAATGTATATGTTAACAAGATTTAGATTTATAATAATTAAAAAGTTAAGTGTATTGAAATTTAACACGTTTATATTTCTTACATTTCATTAATGCGTAAATTAATTTCCGTACATTATTTTATTCTATACACATGTATATATTCAAAAACTTCTACTCTTCTTAAAAATAATCTTCTGAAAAATAATTAAATTAAATAATCTAAAAAGACACTAAATGATTAATTATCAATTTAGTTTATAGATTAACTTTTTGAACTTGTTTACTGAAGTTTTGCAAGTAGAAGCAAAATTATAAAATTTCTGATTGGTCACTCTATCGTGACAATATTAAATCAATATAGACCAAGAACGAAGTTTAAGTTTTATGTAATAAACATCACGTCGTAATCAATTAATGGCTAACCGGCGATAACCTGCTGTCACAATGTCATGACCTAAATTCCCCTCATCATGTCTTAGAAATTTATCAAGCAATTCTTAATCTTAGGGTGGTATTCATCGTCCATTCTTATTTTAAGACCATCTTAAGTAATGTCTTAAAATGTTAATTTGTCGGTGTGTGGCTCTAGCCGGTATTCATAGTCAATTTTTATATTTGAGACTGTCCAAGTACAGTTTTAAGATGTCATAAGTCAATCAAAGGGCTGTGTCTTAGCATCTTAAGACATTACTTAAGACGGTCTTAAAATAAGCATCAACTGAATACTAGTCAGAGACCATGGCCGGTATTCATAGTTGATTCTTATGATAAATTCGATCACTCGCACTACACTGGATCAGTGCATATTAAAAGCTGCTTTATGTAAAATATCTCACTGTAGTGATACAATATAATCAACTTTGACAATGAAATGATACATGTATATTTTGTTAAATAATGTGACATCATTAGTAGATAATTAATCGTTTAAAATATATATTTTTAACTTTATATTTATACATTTAACTTTGCTAATTTTATGTAAAACAGCTTTTAGTATGCACTGATCTAGTGCAGTGTAAGTGACCGAATTCGCTATTATATTCAAGATCATCTTAAGTTTTATTTTGAGATGTCACGAACCAATCAGAGGGCCGTATTAGCGTCTTAAGACATTACTTAAGACAGTCTTGAAATAAAAACAGACTATGCATACCAGTCTATGAATACCGCCTTTCTATTGATTTATGACATCTTAAGACTGTACTTAAGACGGTCTCAAATAAAAACTCCGACTACGAATACCGACCTTAATTATATTCGTTTTCCTGCAAGCCGGGTGTTTTAGTACAATAAATAAAATCACGTGGCATTTCGTCAAACCGGTTCCTAATTGGATTTCGATTAGATACGATCTATTTCGCACGGATCTATCACGATTTTTCTCGGCAAGTAGGAAAGCAGCTTGTATACGGCTACCGGCTCTCGCGAACGAAACTCGTTCCGGTTGCTCGTTCGCAGATTTCGCAATTTCGGATTCCACGAGCGTACGGCCGCGCGGACGAACGGAGTCAGCTTGACCCGAAGAACGATCGATCGGCGGGATACGAACACGCGAGCCGATAACCGCATGCAATCATAGTAATCGGCTACATACGTTACACGCGGTAATACACACCTTCCTCCCTTGTGAGCGCGTGTGCGAGTTATCCGAAATCTGAGCGGCGGCTCTTCGATCGGTACCGGGGAACGAATCACCTTAGCACCGTGAATCACCAGAAAAATCCACCAGAAAAAAAAAGCCAAAACGCACTTGGAAATTTCTCTCTCGTTATCGTACACTCGCGCACAGTTTTCCTACGGAAATTTTCCTCCTTTTCTCCCGATATATTCGAATGTACTCCGAAAGAGCAAACGCACATCAGCGGCGCGTGCGTACACGCTTCGCTCTACGTCCGTTGAAGAATTCGCGTTCCTCTCTTTCCGCGTGAACCCGGCGTGAAGCAAACCGAGATCTGCGCCAATCTGCGCTAATCTGCGCCAATGCCTCAGCTCAGCGGCCACGGACTCGCTCCTCGTTCGCTTCAGGCTTCAAGCCGCTTCATGCGCAGCCCTTCTCTTTACTTTACTCGCCCTCGACGTTCTTTCCCCCTCCGACGCCAGACGTGTTCCCCACCCCATCAAAAAACAGGTTCCCCCACCTTACTGCCTGACGAACGAGTTTCCTTCTCCTCTCCGCTCTCCGCCTGGCGAACGAGTTTCCCCACTCCACGTGGCAAACACGTTTCATCGTATCTGCTTGTGATACGTTAGAGGCAATACCAGCTACTCTAAAGCGGTAATCTTTTCGGATTCCCGCAGTGTTCTGGAGGTAATTGGCTCACCTAGATTCATTAACAAAAATTATATAATTCACTGGATCAAACAGATGCTGACAAAAGTTAACTCTATGACACGGAGTAAAAAGAAGGGGATCAAATTCGAGGGATTAAACTCGATGAAACATGAGCTCGAACATGACTTCGGAAAACACATGGAAAATCGGGACGATGCGATTTTAGTGCTGTGGCGGGAAAAGTTGAAAGTATAACACATGACACCGACGAGATACAAGTGATGGATTCACCCTGCATCCGATTTGCGTCGTACGACGCTCTGCAACCAATCA